TGGCCTGCCACCCACTCATAGGAAGACCAGGAGAGCCTAGGGCCAACCTGGGGAGTATTCATTCTCGGTGTGCGTGCCCCGAGCATGGACTGAGCCCTGGGGCACTGAGACACACAGACAGTACTCTAGGAGCAGTGGGAAGCCATCAGGGGTTTTAAGCAGGGGAGTGGTCCATGAAGCTGTCCAGGCCTAGGGCGCAAACCTTGCCACTGAGCCCGGGCCTGGCACACTGTGGCCTCCAAAGAACTCCCTGGGCATGATTTGGCAGCTCCAACCCCAAGTCCTATATTTAAAAATGGAATCTGGACATTTTTAATCTGCCCCTCCTCTTTACCCTACTGCCCTGCTTCCAAGTGTAGTTGCCTAGTTCTTTGATTTTATTCCCACCAGAGTGTGGAATACCCAAGGGCAAGGTCAGCATCTCTTTCACTATTTCCTCCCAGCGCCTGGCCTGGCACAGGAAGTGCTTGTGAACATCGGACGAATGCGTGCCCTTGTCCACTCGTGGCTGGAATGTTCACCTGCTTCCTTATGGTCCTTCCAGGCTCGCCCTCTTCAGGCCGTTCTCCAAGCTGTAGCCATAGCCAGTTGTCAGTCCACATATTTTTTATTCTGTTTTTACTATTGTCAGACATATTTCTAGTTAGTAGGGATTATCATGGGCTGAATTATGCCCCCCCCCAAAAAAAGTCATATGTTGAAGTCCTAATCTCCAGTACCTCAAAATGTGATCATATTCATGATTAGGGCCTTTACTGAGATGATTACAGTAAAATGAGGTCATTAGGGTGGGCGTTAAACCAACAGGACTGCTGTCCTTACAAGAGGAAAGTTGGACACAGACTCATACAGAGGGAAAGCGATGTGAAGGCACAGAGAAGATGGCCACAGGTAGACCAGAGAGACGGGCCTGGGACAGATCTCCCCTCGCAGCCCCCAGAAGGAATCAGCGCTGCTAACACCTGGATCTCCGATTTCTAACCTCCAGAACCAAATACATGTGTTGTTTTAAGCTGCCCACCCTGTGGTACTTCGTCACTGCGGCTGTAGGAACCTAACTCAGGGAGAGAACAACAAAAAGGGGCCTCTAGCCTCACGGAGCTTATGTCCTAGGTGAAGGAGACAGACAATTCATTTTCAGATTTCAGGATCAAGAACAGGATGATGTGAGAGCGCAAGCCTAGGGCACTGGGGCAAAGCCTTGAGATGGAGGGGGAGGCCTCTCTGTGCAGGCGACATTCACCCCGAGACCCAAGTAGGGGAAGCAGCTGTCCATGTGAGGTACTGGGGGTGGTGCAGAGAGCTCCAGATGTTGCAGACACGGAGGTCTGAAGTGACAGAGGCCAGGGGAAGACGGTGGCAGTTGAAACGAAAGCAGTATCGGGGGCTAGTGACAGAAGGCCTTGAAAGCATGGTGTTTGGGTTTCAATCTGAGTGTGTGATTTGGCAGCGTGATTATTTGGAAGGTTATAATCATGGGAGTGATAGTACTGGATTTACGTTGCAAAAAGATCACTCGCCCCTGTGTGGCATCCCAGAGGGCAAGCAGGGACCCTAAAAGAAGCCGCTGCAGCCTTGGCCAGTTTGGCTCAGCGGTTGGAGCGTCGGCCTGTGGACCAGAGAGTCCCAGGTTCGGTTCCTGTAGGGGCACATACCAGAAAAAAAAAAAAAAGCCGCTGCAGGGTCCAGGCAAGAGATGAAAATAAATCTGACCGTGTCCTTCCTCCACTGGCCCTCCCTGGGTAGCCTACCTGCTCCTGCTCCTGCCACCCAGAGCCTCAGGCCTGTGTGCGAGTCTGCCCACCTGGGCCATCTACTCAAGGCTGGTGACTGTGTCCCTGCCTTGATAAATCCTCCTCTCAAGACCTTGTGGGGCCTCATCCAGAAGGTGTTCAATCAAACCATGAAGGTGACCAAACCATGAAGAAAAGAGTGGATTAATTAGAAGATTCTACCCTAGAAGGGCCTTTAGGTAGATGGTCACCTGCTTTACCTGAGGCCCTAAGAGGAGAAGCAACTTGCTTAGGGAGACATACAACTTAGTGGTCAAAGGGGCACAGGAGAGGGGAACTCACTAGACCGAGACGGTTCACAAGTTTCCTGAAATGCAATTCTGACCACCTCTCTCCCAGGCCCCAACTGCTGTCTGGCTTACTGTCCCCCGCAGCCAAGTTTATCTAAATTAGGTCTGCGGCCTCTATTATGGACTGAATTGTGTGCCCCCCACCAAACTTAAATGTTAAAGCCCTAACCCCCAAGATTACTTATTTGGAGACAGGGCCTTCAAGGAAATAATTAAGGTTAAATGAAGTCATAATTGTGGGATCCTAATCCAATGTCACCAGTGTCCTTATGAAAAGAGGAAGGAGCCCTGGCCAGTTTGGCTCAGCGGTTAGAGCGTTGACCTGCGGTCCCGAGAGGCCCGGGTTCGGTTCCCGCTAAGGGCGCGTACCTCGGTTGCAGTTTGTCCCCGGCCCTGGTTGGTCATGCGGGTGGCAGACACTCGATGTGTCCCTTTCACATCAATGTTTCTCTCTCTCTCTCTCTCTGTTCCTGTCTCTCCCTCCCACTCTACCAGAACAAAAAAAAAAAAAAAAAAGGAAAAATGTCCTCGGGTGAGGATAAAAAAAGAAAGAAAGAAAAGAGGAAGGACACCAAGAGGGTGTGCACAGAGAAAAGGCCATGTGGAGGACACAGTGAGCAGGCCGCCTCCTGCAAGCCGGGACGAAGGGTCTCACCAGACCATCCCTGCTGGCACCTTGATTTTGGAATTCTAGTTGCCAGAAGTGTGAGAAATTACACTTCTGTTGTTTTAAGCCACGTGGTCTGTGGTTATCTGTCACAGCAGCACAAGCGGACTGATACAGTGCTTAACCCCTGGACTGCCCCGAGCTCTCCTTACAGGTGCAGGCTTTCGGACCCATCTGACACCCTGAAGCAGAATTTGGGGGACGGAACCCAAGAATCCATGTTTTGAATGGGCTCCTAGTGCTCCCTGAAATGTCCTCTCTTTGAGCTCCTGAGGACAGTGAAGACTGATTTCTAAGACTAATCCACTGGCCACCAGCTCCTCTGACCACTGGCCTCCCTCTCTGGGCCCAAGAGGACTCGCATCTTCTCTGGCCTCCAGGTTAACTGGCAAGCTCATTCTGCCAACGTGCTTCATTTCCTCACACTCCCCGTGCCCTCCATGAGGCAAGCCAGGGCAGGGCTGGATATGGAGCCTAGAATCAGAGGTAAGTCAGATCTGAGCCCTGCCACTGAGACACCTTGGTCCATGGAGAGACCACAGCTGTGAATAACCCTGCATCCGGGCAGATCCAGTAAGGACTGCAGGAGGGGGAACGGAGTGACCTGGGAGTGTGGGCAAGTTGCAAGCACAGAAGGCTGTAGGAGTGGTTATGAATTTGTTGTATCTCTGCCTAGCTGCAGTGGAAGCAAGCTGAGGGCAGTGCCCTGTCTTACACATCCTCGTCCCCTCCACCTTCTTGGACATCATGGGCCTCCATGATGGTGGGTTTATGGTCCTTTGGCTGCCTCCAGCTTTACTAGGAACAGCCTTCCTAGTGGCTGGGCAAAGTTTTTAAAACATAAGACCCGATCTGGCAGAACAGACACATACTTCCGAGTCCAAAAACCCTGGGTTCTGAGTCTAGTTTTCCACCGACCACCTGTGTGGCGTGGCCCCAGACAATCACGTAGTCTCTGAGCTTCCTCAGCTGTGAAAGAAAAGAGGGAGAATAATATTTCCTACACAGGTTTCGTTATAGAATTAAATGACGTAACCTCTGTAAAGCCCCCAATGTCTGGCACTGAGCTGGCCTTCAGTAAAGGTCAACTCATAGGTTATTCCTTACACAGCAGTGATTTGCCCGACCTGAAGGCATTGCAAAAGGACACGGGGAAAACTTAAGTTTAGTAGACAAACTCTCAGTAATGACCCACCTGCATCCCGTCCAGCTAACAGGCATTTACTGAGCACATACCTTCAGGTAACAGGCCCAGTGTCCAGCACTGGAACAGGGGAGACATGTTCATGGCTTTAGTGCCGTAATGTCAGCTCCAGGAGGGCAGAGAGCTGACACTGTTCACCAGTGTGTTCCCAGAAACTAGACCAGGCTGAGCACATAGTAGATGCTCAGTAATTATGTGTTGAATGAATGGGGTGAATCAATCAATAAATGACTGGAAGGTACAATCCAGTGGGCCTCTGACTCATTAAAAAATTTTTTTTTCTTTATTGATTTTTTTATTTTTATTTTTTTTGAGAGAGAGGAAGGGAGAGGGAGAGAGAGATAGATACATCAATGAGAGAGAACATGGACTGGCTGCCTGCTGCATGCCCCCCACTGGGGATCTGGCCCACAACTTGTGCATGTGTCCTGACCTAAAACCCAACCGGCGACCTCTTGGTGCATGGGTCGACTCTCAACCACTGAGCCACACAGGCCGAGCCCTCTGACTCGTTTTTGTTTTTTTTTTAAGAATTTGCGGCAGGTCCTTGATCTCTCTGAGCTTCTTTTTCCCCGTTTGTGAAGCCAGAGGTGTCTAACTCATCTCGAGGTTCTGCCAAGCAGGATTAATAGAGTAGTAGTAATAATAATAATACTTACTGAGCACTGCTGAGGACAGGGCACTTGTAAAGAACCCTAGGAGGTAATCGTATTTCACCTCCACTTTATAGAGGAGGGGACCGGCACAGAGAGGCAGTGGACCCTCTCCTCCTGGAGAAGGGGGATTTGATTAGGTTTCAGAGGAAAAACTGGGGCTCCGACCAAGCAATGAAGAGGACCCATGATCAGAGAGGAAGGCCCTGCCAAAGGTGTCACTGCACGGTGGTAGCTGCTGACGTCGGAGAGACCAACCCCGCCCCGAACCGGGCAACCCAGCCCCGCCCCCGCGTCTCCCTGACAACACCCGGCACATGCGCCTCCTGCTCCGGGCGGGGCCTGGTGACGCGCACCGAAGCCAATCACCGGGCGGAAGCCGGCCGGCGGGCGGCAGGAGCGTGGGAAGGAATTTTAAAGGGACCGTCTCACCCGGGCCTGGTAGCCCGCGGGGACTGCTGATGGTGAGGGCTGGGTAGCCCCAGGAGTCCGTATCGAGGAGGTAGAGGAGAAGCAGGGCTGTGTGACCTCTCCTGGAGGTGACCAGGGAGAGAGAGGGGAGCTGTGTAAATGCCCTCGGGGCAATATTGGGATGGCTGCCCCCCAAGGAGAAATGCGGGCTAGAAGGGACTCTGGAATTACACCTGGGTACTAAGAGGTAGGCAGGGATGTGTAAGGGAGCATGGACTCCGGAAATGCTGATTGGGATAAGAAGGGGGGGCTCTATACTGCTGCACCCCCAAGGAGGGAGCTAGGGCTCCGCGGGGAGCCAGAGGGCAGGTTAAGGGGGCTCACAGGTCCAGCGCGGGACAGTTACCCACTCCCTTCCCCTGCTCTCAGCATTCTGCCATCTCCCACGCCGGCGGGGTGCCCAGCCATGGCCAGACCACCCGCCCCCGGCTCAGTGATTGTCCCCGACTGGCACGAAAGCGCCGAGGGCAAGGAGTACTTGGCCTGCATCCTGCGCAAGAACCGCCGGCGGGTGTTTGGTAAGTCCCCTCTCACCAAGCCTGTCACCTGCCATGCCTTAGGGAGAACAGTGTCACCTGTTGCTCCCTGCGGGGACCAGAGAAGCAGGGCAGAGAGAGCCTATGGCACTGCACTCCGGGGCCTTGGCCCCCTGGTGTATCCCTGACGACCCCATCCCCAAAACTACCTGAGAGCTAATTCCACCATCAGAGCCAGGATCATGGAAACAGGCGAAACCCTGCCAGGAACTACTGTCACCAGAGAGGCTGTTGATTGAGCCCTCAGCCGGTGCCAGGCCCTCTGCTGGGCACCTTACACAACAGACTCCCATTTCACCTTCTCCACAGCGCGTCTTACAGACTTGTTAAGACTGGTGAATAGAAACAAGCCTCTTTCATATCCTGCTGTCTCCAGGATGAAGCCAACTCTTCCAGGCGGGGCCAGGCCGACAGGCCTGCAGAAAGGCCTGGTATCGCTGTGAGAGTCCAGCTCGGACCTGGAGAGACAAAACCCCAGAGAACTTAAAACCAGAGAATTAGGGAGCAACTCACAACTTAGGACTTTGAGGCCCTATACCTATAGAAATATCATAATGTTAGACTTTTTTGCAAGTTTTAAATTAAAAACATTCAGCCCAGCCAGTGTGGCTCAGTGGTTGAGCATCAACCCATGCACCAAGAGGTCGCCAGTTCGATTCCCAGTCAGGGCACATGCCCAGGTTGTGGGCCCAATCCCACTGGGGCATGCAGGAGGTGGCCAATCAGTGTTCTCTCTCATCGATGTTTCTATCTCCCTCCCTCTTTCTTCCTCTCTCTCTAAAAGCAATAAAGGTAGAAAAAAATTTAATTAAATTAATTAGTTAATTTAAAACATTCATAGCTCAGTTGGTTGGAGCATCATCCCATACACTAAAAGGTGGTAGATTCGATTCCTGGTCAGGGCACATACCAAGGCTGTGGGTTTGATCCCCAGTCAGGGCACATACAGGAGGCAACCAGTTGATGTTTCTCTCTCACATCGATGTTTTCTTTCCTCTCTCCCTTTCTCTCTGTAAAATCAGTAAAATAAAAAATTATAAAGATCTTGATATAGTAACTCTAAGGAGTTTATAGTAATTGAAAATACTTCTGCTGATATTTCTCTACTGATGAAAGAATTATATAACACTTTGCTTTTATATGTGAGAAATCTAGAATACATTGATAATACTATCAATAAAAACAATCTCATGCATCAAACTTCCAGGAACAATTTGGTGTTATTTGCAGTGGGCCTGGGCCCAGCTCACAGAGCAGTGTTCTCAGCAGAGCTTCTCATCCAGGGGCGCTGCTTGTGTCCCAGGCCTTGTAATGAGTATAGAGAGCCACAGATGGTTGGCACTGAAAAAGCCCTTAGCAATGAGGATGTCCCACCCAGGGTCTGGTGGGGCAAGACTGTGGGTGGGACATCCTGACGCCACATTGCTCCCTTCTTGCCCCAGGGCTGCTCGAGCGACCAGTGCTGCCCCCAGCTGTGGCTGTTGACACGGCCAGCTACAAGATCTTCGTGTCTGGGAAGAGTGGCGTGGGTAAGACAGCGCTGGTGGCCAAGCTAGCTGGCCTGGAGGTGCCTGTGGTACACCACGAGACCACTGGTGAGTCCATCCTTGGAGGTCTTCTTGGGGTGGAGAAAAAGCTGTCTCTGGACCACACAATCTGGGATTTGAACCAGCCCCACCATTTACTCTGCAGCCTTGGAAAGTCACTTCACCTCTCTGAGCCGACATTGGCTCCTCTGTCCAACAGTGATCGTAGTATCAATCCCATGGGCTTGTTGGGAGGTTGGTGCTAGAGATAGTGGTGGTAACATGCCTGGCACTGAGCTGGCACAAGGTAGGTGCTCAGGAAACACGAATCTTTTCTTGTTTCCTTCCACTGGGTGCTGATTGACCATCATGTTGCAACATCCTCCAGTGTCCTGGGACCTTTGGGTCCTCTTGCACATATGAGTGAAACTTTATTGTCATGGCTGGGACTAGAGTTGTATCTCCCTGGTAGACTGGAGGCTTCTCCAGGGCAGGTCGGTTTCCCTCATCAGACAGAATTCTCCCAGGTCAGGGACTATGCCTTCCCCATCAGACTAGGGCCCTCGAGGGCAGGGACATATTCTTCCTGTTTCGAGCTCTCTCCACCTCTGCCTTTCCCATGCTAAGTGGCTGACCCCGGCCTCCCCAGGCATCCAGACCACCGTGGTATTTTGGCCGGCCAAGCTGCAGGTCAGTGACCGTGTCGTCATGTTCCGCTTTGAGTTCTGGGACTGCGGGGAGTCTGCGCTCAAGAAATTTGATCACATGCTGCCGGTGAGCAGGCAGGTGGCCCTGGGCGGGTCCCGGGGGTGCTGGTTATCTGAGGTGGGCCTCTGAGTCCAGGTGTCTGGTTTGCAGGAGCCAGAAGTGGGCTTGAATGAGCTGGGAGTGCCACCCTGGCTGGGAGAGCTCTGAGCTGGCACTGGGGACTAGATCCCAGCCTGAGCTCTGCCCTGGGACCTCACGTTTCCCAGTCAGGGAAAGGAGAGATTGTGCTGAGACTTTTAGGGCCCTGCAGCTGATAGGAGGGTTCTGGCCCCGTTGTTACGGTCTTGAATTAGCCTCTCCGTCCCCAGGCTTGCATGGAGAAGACAGACGCTTTCCTCCTCCTCTTCTCTTTTACCGACCGTGCCTCCTTCGAAGACCTCCCTGGACAGCTGACCCGCATAGCAGGCGAGGCCCCTGGTGTCGTCAGGATGGTCATTGGCTCCAAGTATCCTTTGAGTGGCCCCTAGGACTATCAGAGGCCACACTTGGCAAGACATGGATCCTACCATTGCCCAGCCATGGGGTCTAGCCCCATAGGCTTTATCTTAAAGGCTACAGCAGGGCCTCCCCCAGACCCTGGGTGTGGGGCTCCAGGGAGGAGGGAGAGGCTGGGTTCGATGGGGGATTAGCTGAGGCACCCGACCAGGCTCCTTCACCCTCCTCCAGATTTGACCAGTACATGCACACAGACGTGCCTGCGCGAGACCTCGCAGCCTTCCGGCAGGCCTGGGAACTGCCCCTCCTGCGGGTAAAGAGTGTGCCAGGGCGGCGGCTGGCAGATGGGCGGACACTGGATGGGCGGGCTGGGCTGGCCGACATTGCCCATGTGCTCAATGGCCTGGCAGAGCAGCTGTGGCACCAGGACCAGGTGGCAGCTGGCCTGCTCCCCAGCCCCCCAGAGAACACACCTGGCTGATATGAGTGGGCACCTGTGACCCTTATTCCTGACCCTCAGGTGATCCAGAGCAGGGGACAGGACCCAGGGCCTGGGGCTGGGGCAAGAATATTGCTCTCATTCGGAGGATTGGTCAGGGAGGATGGTGGCCTGTGAAGACTCTGCCCCTTGCAGCACTTCCCTTGCAGAACTCATGGCAGTGAGGTGGGCGCACAAGGCTCTGTGGGCAGTGGTTTGAGCCCTCTGGTCTCCCTTGGCCCTGGGGGCATCTAGGCTCTGGAAACTGAAGAACTGCATGGACAGGGCCCCAGGACTCAAGCATCTCCCCAACCCCAACCCCCTGCTATCCCTTCCCCGCCTTCTGCAGTACAAAGGGAAGGTGACTGGGGAGACAGGGGTCTCACTTGGGCCCTGGACCTCAAGTGACTTCAGTCAAGAGCCCATATTACCAGTTGGGGCAAAAGTAGGCTTACATTTGTTCGTATGGAAAATAAGACAATAATGAATAAATAATCATATAAGAATAAATTCTGTGTTTTGCATACTCACAACTATAAACCTTTGCACCGCCCTGTAGTTGTAATACCATCTGCTGTACCAGAAAATCCTGAAGTCTCAGTGGCTTAACTCTATAGAGGTTTTTTCATGCTTATGTCTCACCTCAGGTGGAGATGAAGGTGGCTTTGGGGTCTCCGCTCCATGTGTTCATTCAGAGACCCAGGCTCTGAGACCTTCAACACATGGCTTCCCAGTTTGCCCTGGGACATCACTGTGCAGTGAGCTGACCAATGAGTGCAAGTGAGAGGTCACCCAGGAGGTTTCTGTGGCCCTGGCTAGGGTGGTGTGCCTCATTTCTGTCCACATTTCTTTGGCCAACCCCTAGTCACGTGGTCACATGGAGCTGTGGGGGAGGCTGGGAAATGTAGTCCACCTGTGTGCCCAGGAGGCGAGCCCCTTGCTCCGCAGTGCCTTTGTTGATTGTGAAGCTGTCAGGCTAGGCTTAGGACAGGGGCCCTGCCAGCCTGGGGGGATCAGAAAGCATCACTGGACCAGGTGGGGGTCAGGGAGTAAGTTGCCCTGTTGGCAGCTCTGCCCGGTGGAAAGCCAGCAAGGGCAGGAGCAGGAAGATGAGTGAACTTGCTCATTTTTTTTTTTTAAGTATTTGTCTCTTTTTTTTAAGTTTTTTTGTTTTGTTTTGCTTTTTTAAGAGACAGAGAAAGGGAGAGGGAGAGATAGAGAAAAACATCAATGTGAGAACGAAACATCAATTGGCTGATTCCTGTACACCCCTTACCAGGGATCGAGCCCACAACCTGGGCATGTGTCCCGACCAGGAATCAAACCAGCGACCTTTCCATGCAAGGGATGACTCCCAACCAACTGAGCCAGACCTGCCAAGGCTGAACTTGCTTATCTTTCTGTCTCACATCTGCCCCACCAGCCAGAGAACTGGTGAATGCAAGCTAAAGTGAGGGGGTGGGCAGAGGGTGCTAAGGGGACCTTTATACTTTCTGACATTCCCTTATGATACTCCTTCTGTCTCCATAGATTGACCCCTGGGCTGAGGCCTGGCCTGTCTGACCCAGCTGGCAAGAGCCCCAGGGGTCTAGGTGGAGTGATCCCCAAAGCCAGCTGGCCCTTGGAGCCCCCTCTTGAGAAGTCAGCACTGGCAGCTTTGTACACCCACACTCACACACATGATCATGTGTGCACACACACCAGCCCTCCTAAAATGCCCTCCCCTATATACACCTCTGCTCACACTCCTGAGCATTCGCCGTGTCTGTCTATCTTGGGCACTGCCCATAGGCTTGTCAGCCCTTCCAGGGCCTAAAGGACTGGCCTGCATCTTCTACCCGCCAACTCTGGTGCACAGCTGAGACCTGATCTTATCCCATACCCTAGAGAAGGAATGTCCCTGGGCAGGACCCCGAGACTCACAGTGGCACGGCCTGTATGCCACAGACCTTCCCACTGCAGCCTCCAGCTCTGCTTCCAAGCAGCCGGCCTTCAGCCTGGTCCCCTCTGTTCTTAGCTCCAGTTTACCTCACCCTGCCAGGGAGTGGGACCCAGTGAAGGTGGCCTCTGGGCCTGAATATGACCCTCCACGTACAGATGCCTGTGTTGTGAGCACCACTACCCCACATCCCGGCCAGTTATCTCTGGTCTTAAAACTCCCCCAGAAAGGAAGTTTCTGAATCCTTCTTGGGTGCCAGCTCTGCTAAGAGCCAGAAGGTTACTCTGGAGAAATAGCCAGATCCTCCCTCCAACAGGGCAGGCCTGTCTTACCCTGGTTAGCACTGCTGCAGTCAGAGAATCACCTTCACCCCAAATCAAGGGTGGAAAATTCCCTTCGACATCTCCTTGGGAAAGGACAAAGCATGGAGGAAAATAGGGCTGGTACCTGGAGCCTGGCCACCCGTCAGTCCAGTGTGGTCACCATGGCATATCCAGTACCCACTGCAGAGCAGTATGCAGTCAGTAGTCACTGAATACACTTACATGTTGTTTACTCATCCATCCACCCACCCATCCATCCATCCATCCATCCATCCATCCATCCATCCATCCCCCCATTCCCCCATCCATCCATCCATCCATCCACCCACCCATCCACCCACCCATCCATCCATCCATCCATCCACCCACCCACCCATCCGTCCACCCATCCATCCATCCATCCTCATGTCCATCATCCACCAGTCTGCCCCTCTACCTCCATGTGTGCACCCACTTATAGAGGCTTGCCGATTGTTTTCCTGTCTAGTTTATTCACCTGTCTGTCCATCTGCTACTCACCCATGTATCAGTCTATTCAGGTATGTCCTACATTTGTTAACTTCTCTGTCCGTCCATCCATCCATCCATCCATCCACCCATCCATCCATCCATCCATCCATCATCCACAGGTTCCTAACCAGGCCCTGTGGGGGAAGGCCCTGCAGAAGCAAAAACGAATTAGACCTCATCCCCTCACTCTCGGCTCCCAGTGCAGGCAGGACAAGGTAGAGGGCGTCCTCCATCCCAGGGTCATGACACCCAGCATCTTGGCCCTGGGATGAACACGTGAGACGGGAGTGCTCACATCCAGAGTTTGCTGCTCCAGCTGCACAGATGGCCAGAAACCCAGTGACAGTCCTGCAAGAACCCTATTTCCCACGCCACACCCGCCTTTGCCACCGACTTGCTGGCTCTGCAGTCATCCTCATCATGGAGAGGGGGCTTTGGGGCCTGGAAGGGCAGTCTCCCCAGGGGCAGCTGGGACCCTGGTGGCCTGCCTTCTGGCTCCGACAGTGCCCCCTGACGGCTTCCAGCTCTGCATGGTGATGATTTTTTTCATTCACCGCAGCATTGTAAGCCCTGCAATGTTCCAGTGGGCAACCCATGCTCATGACCCAAGTGAATGACCCTTGGGAACATAGCCTTCTGGGGCTACTGGGGAGGGAGTGAATCTGCCCTGCAGCCCTGTCACCAGCATGAGCTGTCAGTGGTGGGGAACCCAGCAGATCAGGAGCATAGTGGGGAGAGGGTTAAGCCTCAGCTGCCTCCAGGACAGGAGGGCACATTGCCCACAGAGGCAGTGACCTACAGGTTTGTAGGACACCCTGGTTCGTATGGCAAGCTGCTCAACATGTAGAATGAGTACCTACTAGGTGGCCAGCTCTTGGGGGAGGGTGGGGGTCATTCCACTGTCAGGTCTGACAGGGGCAGGGTCTGCCTGTTGGGCCTCCCAGGATCAGGGGGACAGCTCCATGCTTTGGCAGGGAGGTGGGGCCACCCTATACAGTCCCTAAGCCCCAAGTAAGGTGCTCTGTGTCTGCTGACCGCAGTGTGGCCCTGGCGGCTGCCTTCTTGAGCTCACTTAGTATCTTTTTATCATCATAGTGGGCAAATAGCTGTTTGGTAACATGGAGAAGTTCATCATGCCGTGAATGTAAGGGGTGGGATAGGGACACAGGGTCAGGCCTAGTCAGGCTATGGGGAGGAATTCTATGAGAATGAAGCAGAAACCCTCTTACTGGGGGGTCAGGAGATGGGGATGCAAGTCCTAGTTCTTCCTCCTGTAAGCTCTGTGGCTTTGCTTCTCTCTAAGGCTTTGTTTCCTCAGCTGTACAGCGGGGACAGTAATACCCCTCCAAGAGAATGGAGAGGATTAAATGAGATGCTCAGGAAAGAGGAGGGCTTTCTATTATTATTTTTGGGAGGGGAGGGGGTTCCAGAGACCAAGAATGACCATGTAGGAAGCACAGAGAAGATCCTGCCCCTGCCAGAGCACTAGACTCTGGAGTCCAGCAGATTGGATGTGACCTGACTCCACCACTTACAAATGGGGCAAAGTCTTGAGCAGGGTCTCTGAGCCTTTGTTTGCTCATCTGCAAAGTGGGAATAATCATGGGGCCTACCTCTAAGGAATGTTGGGAGGGTGGAAATAGCATTGTCTGGGTTCCCTGTCCCTGGCCCCAGGAAGCTTCAGGTCTTTGGGCAGAAGGGCCACTGGCAGAGCCGTGGGACAGCCAGATCGGGCAGGAGCAGAGGGACTTGGAGGAGGATTACGGATTCACAGAGGGCGAGGGCCTGTTTGATGAGTACCTGGGGAAGGGTCACTGGACGGCTTCCTCACTGGGGGATGGCTCTGCCCTGGCATGGTCCAGGACCTTTTGTGTGTCAGGTGACCTCCAGGTTTAAAATTTCAAGACAGGAGTCCAGGTGAAAGTGAGAGTAAGTGTATTAAAGCTTGGGGCAGTGAAGGGCCCCTGGAGACAGGATTAGGGGGTAAGCCCAGGATGAGCTGCTGCTGCCCATTGCTCCCCTGGGTGCAAGTCTTGCTGGGACCCTTAAAACTTAGGATAGAAGATGCAAAGTAGCCCCGGTGGTTAGAGTGTTGGCCTGTAGACCAAAGAGTCACGGGTTCAATTCTGGTCAAGAGCATATGCCCTGGTTTCGGTTTGATCCCTGGCCCTGGTCAGGGTCATGTGGGAGGCAACCAATAGATGTGTCTCTCTCACATGGATGTTTTTCTCTCTCTCCCTCCCACTCTATCTGAAAATCAATGGAAAAATATTCTCTGGTGAGGATTAAAAAAAATAGAAGCAAAGTAGCCTGAGGAAGGGGGGGGGGGGCGCAGATGTGCTCAGAGACATAAGCTGGTGTCCTCTGTCCTGAGGGTTTTATTTATTTTCTATAGGCAGGAGTTTTAGGGGAGGTCCCAGGGAGGATCTCAAAAGAATATTTATTAGTTTTCCAGGTGTGTTGTTTAGTGTGCCAATATATCAAAATGAGCTTATGGTGGGGTCAGAGGTCATTCTCTGGTTAATTTCACCTTTTATCTAGGATTAGTCTGGCTCTAATTGTTTTATTGTTGTTATTTTGTTGTTATCTATCTCCCTGATTAAGGTGATTTAAACCACCTGCTCTTAGATAGCCTTGGTTAGGGAGGATAGATTTAGACTACCTGCTCTTATG